TTCCCTGTGGCGCTACAGCCCCAATTTGGGCCTAGGCCTACCTCCATGAAACTCTCCGTTTCACTTCGGTTTACTAGATCTTAAACATTCGGTAGGACTCCTTGGGCGGGTGATCAGCTCATCGCAAGGCCCCTACCCTTTTTTACCATATACGAACGCTATTCTACATGCAACACCTGTTCTATATAACAGATGCTAGTAGGTTATTGTACAAGAAGAGGCAGGTTTCATTCTCACGATCCTGTTTCCTCTGGACTACACAGACCATAGTATTAATGCGTATAACACCTAGACAGGATACGAATTGCATGGGCCCGAGATTGAAATAATGATTTATGTGGATCCCGTAGTTAGTTCAGTTTAAATTTCCTGAAATAAAAAGTTGCAGTCTAGAGTAAACTATCTGATGAAACATTTCGGATGTGTCAATGAAATCGATCCGAGACAAAGACCTACACTTCATTTCATTGTCCTTACAATTAACAGTGCATGACGCCCAGACCACGAAATGTCCGCTGTATTGAACTCCTTTACGTCCTTTTGATTTAATTTATCTCCGTTGACTGAAACCATCAAATATTGTCATAATATTATCAAAATTACAACTTCCTAATATTTCATTAAGATTGGTAATTTCATCAAATATTAAAGTTTAATTTTTAATGTTAATTGTTTTAATATGAAATCGTGTGTTTTAGGGCTGGTCTGTAATGAATGCTGCTCTTAGGAGCGTAAACGAAAATGCTGTACAATCCTAAGACAATTTTAAATGGATCTAACTTTGCAGCATTACACGGGACTGGTGAGTTTCTTGACGTTGTCCGTATAGATATAGAGAGAGTTTAGAAGTCAGTACCTGAACGCAGCATATGGCCCAGGAAAGCCACGACCTACTGGCAACCCCTCCCCTTGAATTTGGAAAGAAGAAAAAATAAGTAAAATATTAGATCGAAATGTACCGGATGTTAATCTTGATTTAATTAATGTCGGCGTGTATTATCATAGGTTACTTCCTGTAATTGACCATCAAATTTTGTCACAAGTGTTTGTAAATCTCTGTGATAAGTGTGGATGATGAATTATAAGGAATAATCCAATAATTAAAATAAAATTTATCCCTGGGCTTGATTAGTTACACACAACGCCATGAAGACGTATGGGGAAGTGGATGTATAGCTCCACTATTCTTAACCTAGGCGCTACATGGGGTTTAGTGGTCAGCTTCACGTCCCTGTCGCTTTAACCCCAGGGAAACAGACGCGGTACCCGTTATTGGCAGGCTGGGTGGGCCTCAGGGTCGGTCTTGACGAATGGGTGAAAGAAAAATCCTTTGCCCATTCCGGAAATCGAATAACGACTCTTCGGTCGTCCAACCTGTAGCCTTCCTGTATATATACCAGTCTAGCTGATGCCAATATTAATAAGAAAGGGGAAAAAAAACGTAAAGATAGCCCTGTACATAATTAATTAAGCATCAGTCCATGAAGACGGATTGGTGCGTGGCGGTATAGCTCCACATTTCTTGCCCTCGGCACTAGATGGAGGTTAGTGGTTAGCTTCACGTCTCGGCCGCTTTATTCGCAGGAGAGGAGTCCCCGACTGTCCACTGGATTGGAAGTTGGGTGGTCTCAAAAGCTGGTCTGGACGGTGTGGAGAAGAGAAAAATATCTTGCCACTGCCTGGAATCGAACCCCGGCCGCCCTGATCGTAGCTTGTCACTATTCCGACAACTATCTCGGCTAAAAAATTAAAACTATTTTTTAAAATATTCTTTATCCTGAATAATCCAGAGCGATTTGTAAATATTTTAAACAGTTTATAAGTTTGTAAGAATATTTTCTGTCCCCCCCCCAAAGAAGAAACTCTTTCGGCGCCCAGGACATGTCAAACGCTATTACATCGTAGGAAGCGACATTAAGTTTTGTATGGAAGTAAGGTGTCCATTCTTGTATCTTTGAAACCACTGTACATATCTGGTGGAACACATCTAGTATCGTTTTGTATTCATTGAAACGAGATTTCAATGTTCGTGGGAGCACATAACCACAGTGGGCTGAGGTAGTAAGCGGACACAGCAGCTGCACACTTACGGTTGCGGAGAGCTGCACGTATATATAGTGTCACGTTACAATATATATTTGTGTATATATGAGTCACAACATTTTCACTACGCACTTACGTTAGCACTTAAATCAGCAATGTGCTAAAGTGTTTCTATTTGTATCACTAAAAACTTGCGGTCTACAAATGTAGCATGATAAATAACTATTATTGCCTATCTACACACGCCTACAGTGTCTACATTAAGTGCTTTACTACTGGCATTTATTTACATTGATTGTTTTTAGCACGGTTTTAACAAGTCAGGGCACTGATGGAATTTCTAAATAGGATTCAGTATCGGCAGTTTAATTAATATACTTGTTTGTTCTGAAATGTTCTGTAAGAAATATTAATATTTATGATTAGATGCTGGTTCCTCACCGATCTTGGCTCAATCCCGTGACTTCATATGGAATTCAGATGGATGAAGTGATGCTAGAGCAGACTTTACTCCAAATTTCCTCTGATAAACATCATTTTTCCATATTCGCCTGTTAGCGCCCCCTGAGGTGTGCTATAGCCCTGACCAGGCAGCACATTTTCACATCCTCGGTCTTGAAGTTTGGGGGCTTTATGTCTGATGGGCACTTGACTGGTCACAGAGTAAGGAATTCGGTTTATTTTAAGAACTTGTGTTCATTTGGGATGTTACATTTTGTAGTTTGGTAGTTATGTACCAATGTTTCGTAGGAAAATACTGCCTCCATCTTTAGAAGCTAATATGGGAAATTTTAAGTTTATGTAGAAAAGTGGGGAAACATAACTGGCAATGGAATATAATAGTGACCAATCAGAACACATGTAAATGGCGTATACTTAAAAAAATGTTAGTATCTCTCTATCAAAATAGACGGAGCCACCTCCCCACCACGAGAACCTCAAATTCCTTTAGTGCTTATGAACAGTGCTGTGCTTTTGTTTAAGTTGAAAGAAAGTTAGGGAGTTGAAGTATTGATTATTTCAGTGCTTTTGTTTGGGATGTACCAAACGTATTGAAACAAGTAGTTCGAAATTATCTGAACTGTTACCGCTGGTATGATTTCATTTACCCATCCAAGGGCAGTCTCAAAATATATATGTCATTCAGTAAGAAAGCGACATTTACAAATCCTGCGAGAGTACAAGTATATCCCAATAGATTTAGAGCTGGGAGTACACGTGATGTCTTCACGAATTTTGTTCTGTAGTTTGTAAGGTGTGTAGTCCGGTGCAAATTCACCGACATTTCGGAGGAACCTCCGTCTTTAGGGTCAAAGAATTAATCAGCAAGCAGAGCGGCTGGTCACGGAATTGACGAATGGCCAGTCATGCAGCTCTACTTGTCTCAATTAAACCCCCGAAGGTGGAGTCAGCATTTTCTTCAGAAACTCTGCTTAACTTCAACCTATTTAAATGCCTTCACATGCGAGAAGTCAGCACTGTGAGAACCACCGATAAGAAACACAAGATATTTTGTTCTCATGCATTCCGAGAAGCGATGGATACAATACAGAAGCATTCAGAGAGATTTTACTGTTGTACCCTGACTTATAGTAATAATAACAATAATAATCATTCAAATATTCTCAGCTAAGTAAACATATTTAAGTACTTATATTAATTAACATGTATATAAATATTATATTTTGAACTATATTTCATATATAACCCTGTGGTTATTTACGAAGCACATAAAATTAGCATTTAGACTTATAAACTTGTCAGATATAAGCATAGTTTTTTCGGGCAGTGATTATATACAAAAAGATATAATAGAAAATAGAATCGGTTAAGCTTAGAAATGTTGACCCTTGTGCGTCGCCTTTCTTGTGAGGCACACGACCACTCTTGTGTGTTGTGGCGCGACTCGATAACAAACATTCGGGCTGTTGTGGGCGGTAAACGTTGGTGTCTTTACGGCATCATAAAAGTACATTTACTATATATAATATATATGGATAGGCCTATATGTATACATAGATAATACTCTGCAATTCCCAGCACGGAAAATATAGTTTCTAATAACTTTTAATTTGAAATACTAACAGATACCTAACTGTATTATAAAGTTATTTTACCATAACACCACTTATAAACATTATAGATGATTCTGGTTATACGCGGTTTTGTTATCCGCTTTTTTATTTTAACGACATGATTATCAGTATCCTTCCAAGAGCCACAACCGAAGCTGCCGCGCATGTCTGAGTTGTGCACACAGTTTCCCAGACTCGCCCCTCCATTTTGAGTTACTCATTCAGTATGCTTCCCGTTTCATGCGTTTTCGATATGCGCGGTAGTTTATAGGTGTGCAGCCCGCGTATAAAGAGTCACCTGTATAGGCTGCATCAAGTTTATGTACTATATACATCACATCCTATATATACCAGCAACTTATTATGCCCTTGGTTGCATTTAAATTACTTAATATGCAATCAACATAAGCACTATTTAAGGCTGGAATTTCCTGTTTTAATCCTTACACTGCAAGCAGAAATTTTGCTTTGTCCAAGTCTCTCTACTTTCATTGTTAAATTAAAATAGGTGTAAGAATGACATAGGAGCTTCAAAATTAAGGAAAAATTTCCATACCAAGTGATTCTTGACAACGCAGTTTAAATAGAAGTGCAACAAGTGTCACGAAGTGACACATGCAACAAATTTTTTGAAAGGTAAAGATAAAGTTGCCCCTGTGCTTAACTAATTGAGCACTACGCCATGAAGACGTATAGGGGAGTGGATGTGTAGAGCTATATTTTCTTAACATCGACACTATTTGGGGGGGGGTGAGTGGTCAGCTTCACACTCCGGCTGCTTTACCTCTGGGGAAAGAGCCCCCGGTACCCCTTAGATAGGAGGCTGTGTGGACCCCAGAGTCGGTCTGGACGACGTGGAGAGGAGAAAATTCTTGACGTTATTGAGACTCGAACTCCAACCCTTCGGTCGTCCAGACCGTAGCCAGTCGCTATACCGACTACGCTATCCCGGGCCTTAACAAAGTTTGTAAAATTCTAAAAGTTCCGGCGCTTGGAACATGTAGGATTAGCAAGTGTTATGTTGACTTCATATAAGTTATTAAAATGTACAGGTCACGTGTTCACATACAGACACTCAATTTATAATCACTGGAAATTTCTCAGTGTTACATTTAACGTAATATGTATACAATTCCCGTTTACTCCGCTGTTAATATAAGATACAGAATTATCCTGAATATACGTGCGTGATGATAACTATTACATTTTTCTTTTAACTGCGATTATGAAACATTTATACACTTTGTCCACTACAAGAAAGAGACATTTAGCTTGGTACGATAGCTGGCACACACTGCGGAGTACGTTGCTGCAGATGTCCCACATGAAGTAGCGCTTCTGAACCTATGCCTGTACCCCACGCTTTTCATTCTTCCCAGATGTAATCATTTATGAACCTGATAAGCTGCAGAGATTTCCTTTCCTGTCTTCTGGGATGTGACACCGTCTAGCCTCGTGTAAGTATACCGACGTCCCGGAGGAACATACTGCTTCCATCTTTAGGGACAAGAAATATACAGAACAAGCAATAAACTTCGGGCTGCCTGCTGTCCAATTTCTTATCTTTCGACATTTAGAACGAGGTGGGGGTAGTATTCTCCAGCCAAATATCGGTGAACTTCTACCAGACTACACGGCGATCAATCCCAGAAGACAATATTCTTCATAGTCACCCGATGAGAAAGCATGAAATCTGACAAAATGTTATTTACTCAGTGCACAGGAAAAGTTATTTAGAATTTTCCTGGCCCTTTCGACTTCACCCTGAAAATGATTGGAATATGTCGGGCTTCAAGTATGCCCTAGGGCGTACATGTTCAGGTACACGTTCAGAACCGCTACATAAGACTTATGTTTCCATTAGGAAACTGCTTTCTGCAGTTAATACTGTAGGATGTACAGTCCACAATGTCAAATTCTCATTATTCTTTACAATTTAATAATAAAAATAATAATATAATAATAATCAGGCCACTTAATTGCTAACTAAGCTATACAGCAAACATTTTCAGTTATATATTTTATGTATATAAAATGAGAATTGTTCAAATGAAACTCGTTTGAGTGTTCTTGCTCCTTAAGAAAGAGCTTAGGGCCGCAAATTCGTCCTTTGCGTAGGTAACCCATCGGATGGTGCATAAATGCCTGTCTTAACGAACATTGGGGCTATTTTTAATTATCTCTACTCCTTCGCCCAGAACAATCTCCGTATGGGTTTTATTTGAATAGCCCTCAATTGTAATGTAAGACTCATGTTACTGAAAGACAAGACAACACATATATTGTTTTCACTTTGGCTACAATAACTAGATCAACTTTGTTTACAGTAAGACTGGACATTGTTTCTAAGGTACAACTCTGTGTTTTAGTACACAATATATGTAGTACAAATTTCATTGTTTTGGAAACACAGCAATAATCGAAGCTGAATTGAAATGTGCGACAATATTGTTGCTGAATTCTGAGAAGTATCGGTGACAGAAAATTTGTGTTTCGTTAACTACTATATTGAAGAAACTTATATTTGCAAAATTGTCATTAATTAATTCCAAACGGTTCAGATGATGGTATATAACATTCGGGATTGCTGAGTCTTTTGGCTTTGTCCATCGTCCGGTATTCTGAACAACACACGTTTCCAGAAAATGGACCTGTTTCCGTCCTTACATGTACTTAGCTGGGTCCGTTAGAAAGAGCTATGTCCGCTAGAAATAAACTAACTTCAATCACTGTACAACCTACGTCAGTATAGCTACATTTAGAGATGTGACTACAGATGTAGTCTTACTGGCTTAGGTTGTACAGTGATTGAAATCAGCCGGTCCAACAGAGTAGATGTCTTCCAACCTGTCTGTCACCTGAAGAAGGAAGCAGATCCAGTTCCCGAAACGTTGTGTTCTGTAGAATACATAGCTCAGTTTCACGAAATTATTTATACGAATTTTCCAGTAACATAGCTTTTCTGAACGACTTTCGGACGACGTAATCCTGGCATCAGACGCCGTGTAGTCTGGTGGATATTTTTCTGACATTTTAGAGCAACGTGTTCCAACTTCAGGGTCGAAGAGTAATTCAAGAAACCAGAAAGCTATTTGCTGCCCCTACTTTGCTGGTTGTCCATTAGGCTTACACTTCGATCCTGAAGATGGAGGTAGAACGTTCCTCAGAAACATCGGTGAACTATCAGACAACACGTTATCACATCTATCCATAATCACCGCTCTGAGAACCTAAAGTTCAAAGTACGCCTTAGTCTCTGGGTGAAACTTCTTGCGTGACATCTTCAATAGCAAGTTAATCTTTAGCAAAAGCAAAGTGTTGTGGTGCAACATAGAATAGACGAGATACAGATATATTTTGGCTTTAAAACAACTTTATTTATTCACAGAACTTTTTCTTAGGCCTTTCGACCCTCATTTGGCTTGAATATTATCTAGCAACTTAGTCAACTTCTAATGTATTGCTGTGTATATACAAAAAGCACGTTTTAGTGTAATATTCAGTTAGTCAGTGAGCCTGGCCACTTTAGAAAATCCACTACTCGAATTGGGGCTTGGATCCTGCTACTGACGTTTAGGTAACAAACGTCTGCGGACCAAATATGAAATTGTATAAGATTTAAGGTTTTCACTGCGGTGACTGTTAACACAATACCTACACGGCGCCACATCCCAGAAGACTACTTTCTTCAAATATGAAATTGTGCTGAAATTGTTAAAATGCACCCTAAAGAAAGAGGATTGTAGGGTGTTGGCTCAAGATAGGGGCTGATGGCGGAATACGGCCACGAAACTTCATGTTGCATAAAATCATGGGAATTTCTTGACTAGGTGAGCATCTGCCTTCTCAAAAAAAAAAAATCCTGCTTCATGAAGTATGTTTGTTAGTTAAGTAAGATCTAAAAGTTTGTGATGATGATACATTAATACAAATATTATATTTCTGGACATTATTCGCCGCCCTGTTTTTGTTTAAAACACCGCCATGTTCATATTACATCATTAATTAAAAACATAATGTCCTGAAACATAATATCTATATTGTTATTTAAGGTTTTTAATCTGGTAAGCGATTATCAAACTTTTCGAAGGAAGGTGCCATGTCTACATCTCATCTTGTACCCCAAAGACGGACGCGGTATGTACCCCTGGACTTTTCTAGTCACCCACGAAAATATAGGTGTTACAGTGTAATTATAATATGAAGCTTCACAGTTTTGAAAATCTCTTTAATTTCGGAAGCCCAACCAGTGGAATCAACCGAATTTTAACGTAGTGCACAAATAAAAACATGGAACATTTAAAACCTAATATAACTGCTGGAAAAAACTGAACCAAAATGGAAAATCTGAGATATTGGGAGCAGCGATTGGTGAAGTGTTCCTTGTGCTGTAACCGCGTTAAGATATAAACACACTCAGGCAAGCTCACTGTACATACTGATTGTTACCTTTGCGTCATGATACTTGGTGTTTTGTCCCATATGGGCTCTGTATCCAATTCACGATATCATACGAGCCACTCAGTGCCTCCCCACCTGCTGAGAACGTCCAGCTTTATCTCTGGCTCCCCGCTGCTAGGAGCAAGTCAAACATGGGTCCCCGTGCCGTATGTGGAGTTCACGTTCAGCCGGCTTTCCTCTGACAGATCCTCCGGTTTGATTATTTTCGTCACACGCTGAAAGCAAGTTCACACCCTTAGTTTTAGTCTCTTGGACTGGGGTGAGTCCACTTGATACGTCGGCCAATAATTGGCCCCGGATGATAGATGATGATGAATATGGAGCTGTCAGTACAATGAGAGTTGGCAAGGGAAACCGAAGTACTCGGAGAAAACCTGCCCCAGTGCCACTTTATCCACCACATGACCAGACCCGGGCTCGAACCCGGGCCGCTGCGTTGGGAAGTCTGCGACTAACTGCCTCAGTTATGGCCCTGTCCTTAGTTCACACCTTCAGTAAATGAGGGCAGCACCTATCCTATCCGATAGCCACATTTAGTTACGTTTAGTTGGCAACAGTTTCTGTGTTGTACGTGAATCTTACTTTATGCGCCACTGCAGTAATAATGGACCTCTGCCTGCTAAATTGGTTCTGATCCTCGCCAGCAGAGTGATTCTTGGTTCCGATTCCCGTGGGACTCATAACCATATTTTACTCTGTGGCTGTTGACCTCGGGTTCCAGTTTTAGTGAAACTCAAAGGTTCATTACCGTGCTCACAAAAGCCCACCACTTGTCCTCCTCCTGAACCAAATATTCCCCCAATCAATATCTTCCTATCCTATTTCCTTACGATTACTTTTAATATTCTCCGATCTACGTCAAGTTTTTCCAAGTGGTGCTCTTCCTTTCAGGTTCCCCTACCGAAATTTTGCATGCACTTCTTATCTTTCCCATGCATGCTACATGCCTTGCCCGTTTTGTCGACCATGTATGATCATCCTAATAACGTCTGATGAAGAGCACAAGTTATTATTATTATTATTATTATTATTATTATTATTATTATTATTTATATAGATTGTCGCGTGTTTCCTAGGCAACGCGACAAGAAATTTTGTGTGGGTTTCGGATTTGGACGAATATTTATTGGACGATCATTCTTTACACTCACAAATACAATTATTCGCACTTGTAACGTCTTCGGACGTTTCCTCCTCAATGTTATACACTCTCGCACCGCTAATCTCGGTGAAATGTCTTCTGCTCGGAGCTCAGCTCTCATTAGCTCTCGTCGGATACGAACTGTTATATCCTGCACTCGGACTAAGGAACGCCTTGTCGAATCTCCTGTTGCCGCGGGAATACGTGTCTGCCTCAGACAATTAGTTTGTAACGGTTGAAACCACACTGTTAGACTTTCATCTCCAGGGCAATGATTTCCTAAGCATGGCCGCCTAGGAATTGATAGCCGTTGACTAGTGATGGACGTCTTATAGTCTACCCATTCGGTAGTGTAAGGAGCCTACGGGCTGTACTACTGAGGAATCAGAGTTCGATTGCCGGCAGACAAGATACTTTTCTTCTTTCTCGGGGTCCACATTAGCTGCGAGGCTCATCCAGCCTTCTATCCTATGGGTACCGGGTCTTATTCCCTGGGGAAACCAGACGGGGCGTGGAGTTGACTAATTAGCGACTACCTGGTGCCAAGGTCCAGAATGTGTGGTACTATGCCTTGAAAGTGTGTGCTCTAGTGAAGTGTAAATTGTGTGAATTAACGAAACGGTTTTAATTATTTGAAGGCATGGATCTGTAAGAGTTCAAAAAATACAATTACCAATCCAAACCCCGTCTAGGGCACTCTACACAGTATCCTTATGATATGGTGAGAGGGCAACTTTATCTTTTCACAATTTCTGATGCTTTGTAAAAGAAACATCTGATAACCTTCCAGCGCTCGATTCTACTTATATTTTACCAGCTGCCTTAACAACTATCAAATTCGCCATTTTGATTACAGAATTTATTTATGAATTTCATATGATTGCATGAGGAGGGCATTGCTCCAGTGAGCTGGATTCAAACTTGTTGGTCTCTGCGTTAATATTATCCCGTAAGACTCACTCGGTTTCTAAACCTTATAGCGTCGAATGGTAGGGTGAATGCTGAATACTGAATAGGAAAAGATTTCGAAGAAAACGGTTGTATCATAATCAGGCTACTTTCATGGCATTCGCCTAGATCTACTGAGGAAAACTCCAGGAATAAACTAAGTGAATCGGGGCGCCAGCTGAGAATCGAACGGAGCACCTCTGGAATACAGATCTAGAGCGGTGCCGCTATGCTAACCTGTTCGGTGCTCTGTACGAAGTGCCTTTCATATTATTGGCATCTGAGCTGTAAGGAGGCGTGGGTAGTGAACTAAAACGTAGACTGTGCACTCCGGATTGTAGGACTTTGAGATTATTAAAATTCACCAGCAATGCGCCTGCCTACAACCACTGGCCAAGAGACCGACTTGGCCATTAGCCTATAGTTACAAGGGCTAAAACTTGTTACTCATACACAGTTTTAATCATGATGTTCCGCGACATCTGTTAACAGACCCTACGATTAACATACCTATAAGCTGTCAAGTGGCGCTTCCATCGACTTTCGCCGGAACTCGTTGTAACTGACACGGAGAGAATTTTACATTACTTTATGTACATATAAATAGAGAGCGCGAGAGAGGGGGATACGTTCCTTTAACACGTGACTGCATTGAATATACCTGTATAATATTCCCCGGCGTGATAATCAGCTTGTACACTATGTAGAGGGGGATGCAGAGTAGGGAGGACGCCGTAAGGGCCCATCCTACCATGATGGTCCATGCAGGATACGTGTACTCTCCTTGCAGCATCTCCTCGTAGCCGAGCAGCGAAAAAATGAAGATGACCTGAAAGAATGGAAAAGCGTCTACTCGTTTGTAACAAAAACATCAAGAGTTAATAAGGATAGTGTCATTCAGGTACACAGAAGGAAAATATTCCCAGAACAAGTTCCTTAGGGTGACTGGCCGTAGCAATGGCTCACCAAGAGGAAGACTGGACTGATGTAGTTCCAGCATACACGCCAGAAAATGCCTGGTCTGTGACCAATCATCTTCTCCACGTCATGCGAGAAGCGGTCCACGCCGTAGAACCAACAGACGCCGGCTGCCTCCACGAAGACCACGAACAGGATGGAGATGCCTGGGCCATAGACGTTCAGCAAGTTCACCAGGTACACCCCGCCCTGAAAATGTTACCCAGCAGATGTAATGGTGGGTCTCTCAGGATAGGAACTAATACCATCAAACCTGTACTCGAGGGTGTCTTGCCGTCGGTTAGTGGCGTGATCGCCAGAAAATTGCTACATTCAGTTTTCCGTGTTCTGGTAAATTCAAACCTACTTACAAGGAACTTTTCTTCGTAAGGTTGCCCGAATATGTTGTCACGTGATTAAGTTTGTGTTGGTAATTGGATCTGTTGAACACCTACACAACTCGTTTCTACACATCACGAATCATTATAGGACACACTAGGTCTTCTCAGTCTGTTACAGTCTTCACTAGCCGTTAGTTGGTAGCGGCTTCCAACGAAGAACGCTCTTTTTCCTCTGGGTTTCCGAACTGTCTCCGGCGTCAGGTGCGAGTTTCTCATAGCAACAGCTCATAAAGACTGAACCCCAGCGATTATCTAATTAACTCACTAACTCACCAACCAACAAACCAACCAACCAACTAACCAGCCAACTCGGTCGGTCGGTTAAATTGCTACTGGTCTTCGCCAGCACAGCCATTCCTGGCTTTAGTCTCCTCGAGATCATGACCAAGATTTCTATTCCCTCCAAGACGTGTACATGTTTCAAACTGAGCCCTCCTCTTCGACGAAGAGAATGAAGGACTAAGTTAGCTCAAGCCTTAGCTACAATTTGCATGCGGGAGGTGCCCAGTTCGAATCTCGTACAGGACATCGACTATCCTAACTGAGTTTCCTATGGTTTCCTCAGTCTCGTCGGTCAAATACTAAGATATTGCCTCAAATTTAGCCGCGCCCGCTTTCTTTCATATATTTTGAAATTTACTATTCACTACCAACAAATTATTCGAAGCTGTATAGATACCAGCAATCTCCCTGGGGATAAAGAGCGGCCAGAGCGTAAGGCTGACAACCTCACTGCCATCTGTGAGCGGAGTGTCTAGAGAAAATGTTGCAGCCTCTACGTCTCACAACCCTATGGACCTCCGTGGCCTGTTACAGGGATAGATTTATTTGCTTGCTGACGTGGTTGTAAAATGTACCAGAAATATACAGGACAAGTACAAACCTGTAGGCGGCCAAATGTCCATGCCCCGAACTGGATTTGAATCTCTGATCTCAGTGATCAGACTATCCGAAGATTGTAAGCACCAGAAGTGGCATGTTTGTGTGTTTGCATTTGTTACAACCCCTCTCGTCATTTTGAACTGAAGTGACGATTTTTCTGGAACTTGTACCTTAGAAGGAAACGCGAGGATCGCCCTGTCGTCCATCTTATTAAAAAGTTCAAATCTTGCATCCTTATGAAACTTCAGTGTACGAACATTTAGAATTATTTGCGTCACAGGACAAAATAAAAGCATGTTGGATGTGAGGGTGTCAAGGGAGTGACAATGAGGACTATGGGATTCTTGATTTTAAAACTACGTAGTTCGGAGGAGCCTGATGTTTCGGAGAACATATCGCCTCCTTTATCAGGGTCGAACACTAAACCAAATAAGAAACCACCACAAGCAGGTGGCGAGCTGAACTCAGGCCATAAAGGGGGAGAAAAGGTAAAGCTATCCCTGTAACAGGCCGTAGAGGCCCATAGGGTTGTGAGACATCGAGGTTTCCACATTTTGTAGACATTCGGCTAAGAGATGGCGCTGAGATTGTCAGCCTTACTCGACGGTCGCCCTTTACCTCCCAGGAAGATTCCTGGTACTCATTTCTGTTAGAAACTGAGTCGACCCCAGGGCCATAGTGAGGCTGGAAGAATTAGGCCATGCTCGATTAAATCACAGATTGCGTAATTCTGAACTACTATATGTATTGTGTAGTTGAGAACAAGATTACTAATATTTCAAAGGAAACACCTGACTCCATCTTCACTTCTACCCTTCTGTCTCATATGGAGCAAGCTGGTGTAGGGTAATTCTCTAGATGTGTATTTGGGAGGTGGCATGTTCGAATCTCGGACGGGATACTGGTTAACCTTATCAGTCCTTCATTTAAATACCATAGTAGCATTCTGTGTGTAAAGTAAAAGAGTAAAGCTATCCCTGTAACAGGCCGTGAAGGCCCATAGGGTTGTGAGACGTTGAGGGTCCCATATTATCTAGACAGTCGGCTCAAAGATGGCGGTAAGGTTCTCAGCCTTACGCGCCAGCCGCGCTTTACTCCCCAGGAAAATTATTTAATTAATTCCTGGTACTCATTTCTGTTAACCCCAGGGCCTAGTGTGGCTGGAAGGATTAGGTCAACTGAAAAAATCCAATGACCTCATCGGGACTTGAACCTGCGACCTTCCTTCCGGCTTGTAGCATAGCCCCTCAACCAACTACGCTACCGCGTGCCCCCAGACTTCTGAGTGTAATCCGTTGAAAGTCTACGGACGTTTCGGGGAAATTATCGCCTTCGTGTTCTTCCAAAACATCGGTTGACTTTCAATGAACTACAAGGCGTTATATCCTCAGATGATAGAAATTTTCATAACCGCCGCTGTGAGAACCTCAAATCCGACCATGTCTTTAATAGGCCACGGCCGCTTCCTTCCAAATCCTTTCTAATTCATCATTCATTCTACCATTCTACGCTGTACAATCTAGATATTGACAATGTCGTGAAATAGCTCACATAGACGAAACAGATTGCGGCGTGTTCGCCCAGAGCAAGAACTGTAGAGCCAGACAAACAGCCGTTGCTAGGTAACACCGCACGCAACAATAGAGGAACTGTCACGATACGAGATGTGACGCGCACAGCCGTTGCTATGGAGCGATTTGGTAAGCACGTTTCCGCGGAAACGAATACATGCAACGATAGAAGAGCTGTGTGGGAAGCTGAAGAACCTCTACTGTTAGAAACAATTGCCAGGATAGACTAATGAAGACTGAGAACAGAAGGGTGCGTGTAACTGCGAACTGTAACGATAGCACTGTAGTTACGTGTAGTTCTGTGTGGTGTGTAAGTCGTCAGCAAATGCATACTCGTCTGTAGTCACACCCCTAAAACGTGGCAACATATTTTACAGGCATGTTATGTCTTAACTACATAACTGCAAGGTGTCATAACCCAAGAGAACACAATATGAAAGATTACCGCAGTGATAACCTGATATCTCCTATGTACTAGTTGTTTTGTAATTTGAAGCGACAGTAATATTTCAATGTAATAACGTGCCTCAATTACGGGAAAGCCCGTACGCTCATACAGAATATAGTGAAGTAAACAACAATGAAGTCTATATATACTGTGTATGGAAAAGATAGGGAATGTCTATAGGCTAGAATGACTCCCCCTTCACCCTTCGCCTTACCCCTATAAATCCTGTGCGCATGGTTTATGAGGCAATACCTTCTCTCAGCGCTTTTCTCAATGGCTTGAAATCGATCAATGGACGTTAATGCCTCGTGCCTGGTACGTAATGAAATGCAATATAATTCTGTTAAATGTGGGTTGGTTACCCGGTTTCAATTCTAGTAAATAAAGTTAAGGTAAGATGCAGTTGTGCCGTCCCTATGCTTAATTAAGTAATCACTACGCCATGAAGACGTGTGTGGTGTGTGTAGATTCATCTGCACTATTTGGAGGTGAGTGGGCAACTTCACGCTTCGGTCGCTTTACCCCCGGGGACGTATAACCTGGTACCCTTTGAGTAGGAGGCTAGGTGAGCCTCAGAACAGTTGTGAACGCTTTCGAGAAGAGAAAAATCTTGTCCCTGCGTGGAATCGAAACATGTAAGCCTAGCCCATCACTAAATCAACTGAATTATTATTATTATTATTATTATTATTACTATTATTATTATTATTATTAAGCAGCGTCAGTATTTTGAAAATCAAAGGAGGCTTATGACGTCATCTTGCTGTCTGTGTGTCCCCCATAATTTTTTTGGTTTTCTATGCGGTCCGTGTGGTGTGACATAAAGTAGACGATTAATTCTTCCCAGAGCATATTATTGTTATTATCATTATTATCATTGTTGCATAAACATCTAAATCTGTTTTCTTTGCAAAGGCTGTGACTACCCAAAGGCGCCAGTCTCATGTTGTTCTAATGGCTCTAACTTTGAATGTTGCTGCCTTCTGTGATGTGCTGATGTGTAGTTTGGCAGATTTACCAGTTTCGGGGAATCCTACTGCTTCCATCTGCAAGGTAGTACAATAAACTTTGCAGTAAGAGTAGCCTTGGAATAGAGGACAAGGACTGGGGCACAGATATAAATTGGGATGTGAACCTGTGATACTGAGAAGAATGTGCAGGAAGTAAAGAAAGTAAAAGAGACAGAGACAAGTTATAAAATGCAACGTTAAAGTGAAATTATCTTTTCGGGGCAACAGGTTTCATTTTGCACAGTTCTCATTCGTTCTGTCATATTTCAGGCGCAATATCATAGGGCCTATTTTCTCTCACATGACATTTTCTATTACGAACATGGATGCAGCAGGTTCCTTCAAGATGTTGGTAAATGAGTACCAGACTACACGGTGTCACGTTTCAGAAGACAGTAATCTTCATTCAGACACGCTTCATTTCAGAATGTCAACAGAGCGGGCCAATATTTAAACATGTAACGACTAGGAAATTGCTCCGATGCCCGTAATTTCTAGGTTAATTAATTCCAATAACAATTTGAAATTTCCAATTAACGAAGACTCAAAATTTTTAATTTGGAACTGGTCAGAAACTAGTAGACGCAATCTTGCTTTTAATTAGAGAGAGAGACCCTCCATGGAGTATGCGCAGGCGCGTTACTCATGACTAGAATTCAGTCCATTCCTAAGAATTGCCAGATGTTAACGGATTCAGCTGTTGAAGGTAACCAAGCAATAAAAACCAAGTTTAACGGGGGACAAGTAAAAACGAGTAAGTGCGAGATGGGAGGGAGGGAAAAAACTTCCCTTCTGCTGTGTTGGTTTTGTAAACAGAGTTAACTGAACAAAAGTTTGCTTCTACGTGGACATCACCTATTTCAGTGTAGCCTACAGTCAGACCTCAGTGGCAGAGTAAATTGATTGGGTGCAACCTGATTGCTGAATCAAATTGACTCTGTTTGATCTCAGCATAACATTGGAATCCTTTTAGAGCGGTTAAAAGGAGTAAAGGCGTGTGTGGAGTGAGGCTTGCAGAACGAACCTGCCAGCACACTGACGCTCTCTCATGGAACATTCATGTACTAGTGATAAAGCAGCGAAGAAGTTCTCTAACAACAATGAGATAAAAGGATAAAGAAGAGAAGAAAGAGAGAATTATTCAATCAGAGCCATTTCTCTTTCCTCTCCCCCCTAGGCCCACTTATCTTTACAGTGGCCTAGTTTATTTGGTCTCAGTAATGGTTCCGCCATTAACATAGCCATTGTTTCGCTCTCTGGGGATTCATGATTGGGGCTGTTTCGCCGGACCAACGTTCCCATCCAACCGGAACATTATACAGAACATGGAGATTGCTCGAAATTCAACAAGCCATGGATCTAAGCTTTATTTCTTGCAAATGCGTTATCATTTTATATAAGCTTAGAAATGTTCATGTCTCATATGTTTCTTTCATATACACTCTGTGATGGCTTAGGTTTGATTTATGGTTATTTGCTATTCCTTACATAATAAAACGTTACATTTCAGCTCGTGTGTCTCAAAGAAGGAATTAAACTTTTCTTATTGTAATATTCTGGACGTTATCAGGGGGAAATCTTTCCCGGGGGAGGGGGTAAAGTGACAGGGTCTTGAAGCTGACCACTCATCTCCGTGTAATGCCAATATCAAGAAAGCTGAAGCTATACCACCACTCCCTCATATGTCTTAATGACACAGTGCTTAACTAATTAAGCACAGGGACAACTTTACATTTACCCCGACAGTATCAGTCTTATTAGGATTAAATATACAGAAGATATTTAAACAACATGTAATGTAGCCGAGCCCTTCGTCTTTAAGTAACCTCTGCTTTTGCCGCGCCATAGCTCAAGCGGTTAGTCTCTGGCTTTCCTCCGGGGCGGCCCGGGTTCGATCCCGGCTCTGATCAAGTGGGATTTGTGGTGGACAAAGTGGCGCTGGGGCGGGTTTTCTCCGAGTACTTCGGTTTCCCCTGCCAATCTTCATTTCACCAAATTCTCCATCATCATGATCACCCGGGGAAGGCTACAATAGGCCAATCAGTGGCCGCCGTGCCGAGTGGACCCAGTTGGACTCCACCCCCCAATAAGCGAATTAAAAAAAAATCTGTTTTTCAGGTTTATTGAGATTAATATTAAAGGGAATTAATTAAAAGGGGCTGGGCGCTAATAAGAGATATACTCACATAAATGCAATTAAGGACAGATAAACGAAATCTGATTTGATGGACTAGCGAGCCGGATGACGTGAAAATCTCAAGGGTGTTACAGACAAAAATACCAGCATCAGTGGTATCGCCGTTAGGGAACACTATGAGACACTTATGATGAAAATGTCAAGACGAACAATACAATTCGCTAGTAGTTACTATAGGATTCTGACGATTGTGTATAACACACTGATATATTGGGTTTTTGGACTTTATCCATCGTCCTGGTTTTTAAGATAACTAATAAAAACACGACGTTTCGGAAACTGGATCTGTTTCCGTCCTCAGGTGAAGGAAAACACCAATTCTGTTGGGTCCGTTAGAAAGAGCTAGCCTCAATCACTGGACCTAGTTATTAGTTATTAGTTTATTAGTTATCTTAAAAACCAGGACGATGGATAAAGTCCAAAAACCCAATACAATTCGCTGTTCAGTCACGCAGTGTTGGTAACCTTATACTTCCAGGTCTTGTAATTAAAATATGTTCTCATGGTTAAATTTTATCTTAATTACAATATTGAATTACGCACACCACTTTCCGCAATAATTTATTATATGTACGTTTAATCTGTAATTTTAGTGTAGAAATTTATTGACGGTAAGATACAAAGGTAAAGTTATTCCTGTAACAGGCCCTGGAGGCCCATACGGTTGTGATACGTCGAGGTTCCCACATTTTCTACGCTCTCGGCTCACAGATGGCGGTGAGGTTGTCAGCCTTAAGCGCCGGCCGTCTTTTACACCCAGGAAGAATCCTGGTACTCATTTCTGTTAGAGGTTGAGTCTTCCCCTGGGCCGTAGTGCGGCTGGAAGGTTTAAGTTAATTGAAAAAATCCAACTCATCGGGAATGGAACTCACTACCTTCGGGCTTGTAGCATAGTACCTCAGCTAACTGCGCTACTGCGTGCAGCATAAATCTGCTCTGGTCTAAGTAGTGACTCTAAGTTATCTGCTTTGAGGGCTAACATTTCGAAACCAACCCCACAAAATCGCTTTTTTCTTTGCAGAAAACGCGTAATTCTCTCAACTGGTGGCCTACTTTCAAACTGGGCAATTATGTTTAATTATCTTGATACAAATTTGAATGGCTGGCAATTACAAAGCCCTTTCCAACACATGCAAAACATTCAGCATGTGGACGTGTCGCCTTCGAACTTCCGAGTTCGAAAACTTATAGCTTTTCAAAGCTGTCAAGGAGGCGACAAACTGGCGCCATGACATCTCGAAATTTCCACGGAAACATCGCATTGTCAGCGCAAGACAAAGCAATACAACATTATAAAAGTCATAATCTGGGCACATTTAATGGTCGAATATATATATATAACATTTATAAACCGGTATAAATTAAAGTAATTATAAATAAATATCCAATAATTACTTCAATGCCGATCATAGGGTCAGCGCGGTCTAAGGCATAAACAGTCTTCGCTCGCTCGAAAACTTGGATCGTGGGTTCCAATCCCACTTAAGACATGGATATATCTGTGCATTTATTCTCTGTTTGTGTTGTTCTATGTGCAAGTAGAGGCCTTGCGGCGAGCTGATTCCCCGCCCAAGGAGTCCTACCGGCTGTGTAGACGATTAAGAAAATGAAAAAGCGGGCGAGGTTCAGCAAAGGACTGTAGAGCTATAGACAGATAGACAATTACTTCATTAAAATAATAATTTAACAATTTAAAGCGTTCCGAATGAAACGACGAGAGTAAGTGTGATAATGAGTAAATGAAATATGGTAATAATATTTGTATTGTTTGTTTACCACATATAACTCGTGTATATATATATATATGTGATCAAAATTACACACACATATATATATATA